CAAGTTTTTTGTGAAAGGAAAAGCAGCACAGAAAACAAAACAACAAATGAAGTTTTTTTTTTTTTTTTTTGGAATATTTAAAGATGAATTAATGAAAATTGGAAAAGCAAGGAAAGAATGAAATTACCCTGAGAAGGTGGTGGCCTTGGATCTTGCTGGACGGTTGAATGACTGTAGAGTGACAGAAAGTCATGTGTTGGTTTCCTTCCTGCTAAAACAAAGAAAAACAGAATTTCCGTTTTCGGTTTTCTTCCCTTCTGAATTTTTCTCCGTGAAATTAATTGGAAAAGAAAAACGGTTAAGTATAATTACCTTCGGTTCCGAAGGGACGGGATTGCGGAAGTTCCATCGTCGGCTAAAATATCGTTTAGGAACAGAATTCGAAATTTGGATTCAAATCAGTGAATTCGAGTCTCGAATTTTTTTTTGCGAAGCCAAATTGTAGAATTCTAGCTGGAAATTCTTTCAAAAACTTGTGAGATCTGGTAGAAAGTGAATTATCGTCGGAGGAAATTACGCATCCGCCTGAGATCGGAGGCGCATTTACTTGCGTATCTAGAATAGGAGACGCTTCCGGTAGTTAACTTCAGATTCCGAAGTCATCAACCGTAATTCAGCAGAATTTCTCAAAAGGAACAATTCAGCTTGAGAAGATCTTCGACCTCCCGAATCCAAACGTAAGTAGATGTACCTGCAAATCTGTCACCAGAGTTATTCCTCTAGAGCCAATTCTGAACGAAACTCAACGCATTCAAAGAGAAATTCTGAAATTCAATAGAGCTTCGCACAATTCAAAATCCTAAAGTGTTCCGTAAAAGATTTCTAGAGGAAGAACAAATCGAGAAAGAAGCGTTGAACGCATGAGCATACCTTCTCTGATCTGATCTCGAGAGAATTCGACGTGCAAATTATGCTTCAACAAACCAAACAGAATTCAACCACCACAACAGAGTCGGATAATAAACGCATGGAAACGAAATCGATTTTCCGGGATGAGAGAAATTAATACAGCGAGAATCTCCTCGGAATTCCAGCCGGAAAAATCTTCTTTATTTTCCTTTTTATTTATTTGCTTTATAGGGAGAAGAAACAGTGCGGCGGAAGAAAGGGGTTTGGTTCGGAGAGACTGTACTCTATTTTTCTCTCTGGTTTTCCTTTCCTTTGCGTTTCCTTGGTTCATCATCTTTTATATAGTCGTTTTTGCCTTTGTTTTCTTTTTCCAGTTTCTAGGCATTGGTTTCCGTTAACGCCGGTTTGCTAACGTCGTTGTGGTGGGAATGACGACGTCAACGTCATCGGTATGACTGTAGGAGGATGACGGATCTGCTCCTTTCGACGGACGCCGTTTATTGACGGCCGGAAATTTAGGATTAAAATTTAAGAATCATGATGTGTGATACTTTGTTTATTAAATATGTTGATATATATAATATTATAAATTTTAATGAAATAAAAAAAAATTAATCAAATTTTTTAATATCTAGATAATATGACTTATTCTATATTATTAATTCTAAATTTTTATTCCATAAAGTCATCTCTTTTATCATTATTCTAATTTGGAAGATGATTTATTTTTAATTAGGATTTTCTCCAACTTGTTTGAAATTAAGGTTTGAAATTTATGGATACAAATTGAAAATTAGTGTTTATTAGTCAAATTAAGAAATAAATTAGGTAAAACATTCATAATTATATAATTAGGTAAATACCAACTATTTAAATAGTACAATAATAATCTTCTTCAAACAGAAGTAAAAGATCATAAATTCAAGTTATATGACAAGCGAATTAAATAAAATAAAATAAGGGATAAAAGAAAATTATCACCTGTTGTACAACCAATATAAAAATAAAAATAATAAAAATAAAAAATAACAAGAGAATATTAAAACAAGCTCTTTCTTACTTTAAAAATTATAATGTTTTAATTTTTTAATAAAAATGTATTAAAATGACATAAATTTTAAATTTTTTACACTTAATTTTTTATAAAAACAACTAATAAACATTTTTTTTCTTATAAGTTGAGTTAAGCTTTTGTTTGTAACATCCTAATAATCAGTTAAATTTTTACACAACAACACTGATTTGATTCAAACACAACCGTTATCAAAACCAAATAAAAGGGAAAATTTACCATTATCAACAACACTAATTCATATATGTATTGGCTCTTTCTAGTCGTAGTATAGTTTGTGAATCGTGGATGAATAGATGATCCAAAGTAGTGCCCTAAAGCTACAAACAAAAGGTTAGGCTCTCTCTCTTTTATGCTTAAGGAAGTGCACATGCAAAACCTGGCCAGCCAATCCCCCCAACCCCTGGTCCCAGCCTCAGGTCAGGTCCCCCCACACTATGAGAATAGTAAAGCCTACGGCTACAGAATTAGTTAATGCAGTCCAAGTGAGAAGAAGGGTTCACGTGAGAGGTAAACTGAAAAGGTTGACTTGAGAACAGTTACCTGTTGACTCGATCGGACAGGATTAATTACTACAGGCTACAGTTGATGCTTGATGATCATTAAGGCACAGATCCCCATTATCTCAAACTCCATAACTGCTCTCTGCTCACTGCCCGGAAGAGGATGTTGGCAAGTAAAGCTGCAAAACTCACGCGCAGGGAAGGTTATAACTGATGAACTTCGTTTTTGTCGATTTTCATCCTTCAACTTTAAGATTTATATATTTTTTATTTTTATTTTTTTATTATATTTTTTTAATCTTTTAATTACAAAAAAATATTTTTTTTAATTCTTTCATAAGATAATTTATAAATATATTTAAATTTACATATTTTTAATTTCTTAACTTTTAATAAATACATATTTCTTAACTTAAGGAATTAAAATCATACGTGTTTAAACAAATTTAACAAATTAATTTATGAAAGAACAAAAAAAAATACATAAAAAATTAAAAGATAAAAATTATACAAAATCTTACCATTAAAATTAAGGAATCAAAATTAATATTTAATTTAAAAAAATGATAAATAAAATAAAAATTTTAAAGTAAAATTAATAATTAATAATATAAAATAAATTACATTATTTAATATATTAAAAATGTTAATAATACTTAATAATTAATTTTTTACTTTTATTAAACTTTATAATATTATATATTAATTAATTTAATAATATAATTTATTTTATATTATTAATTTTAAATTTTCATCATTTCTATCATTATTATTATTTTATCTCGCTTTTGATGTGCCGGGAAACGCGGGTACTTTTACTTTGGGCATGGCCCCCACTCCCCACTCCCCACGTGATCCTAGATTCTTTCATTCTTTCATCCCCTTCCAAAATTTTTACAGCTCACTCGTTTGTTGTTACCTTAGTACGGACTAGTTAATATTCCCCCTGCTCTGTAGTGACCGGTTTCGTTTTACCATTTACCATACGTAATTTAAAGTGACTATTTCATATAAAAAATTTATAATTTGAATTGAATCATATTAAATAATTAAATTATTAAATAAAAATAAAAAATTATTTTATAATTTAATGTATTTTAAATTATAAAATAAAAAACTCATTTTTTTAATACATATAAATGTAAAATGAAAATTTTTTATTTTAGTAAATTTACTCAACAATAATCATATATAAAGAAATTAATTATCATTTATATATTATATAAAAATAAAAATATATACAGTATATCATACACAAACTTACATTTTGTAGTCATTAATAAGGGACAAACTCCTTATAATTACCACTTCACCTGTGCTTACACATTTGTAATCCTTACAAAATGAACTGCATATTAAACCATCATTTCATATAAATATAATATTTAAAACTACATATAAAAAAATCAAATAAAAATATATTGGAAAACAAAGGGATTACCTTATTCCAACTCCTTGATTTTTGTACCATATTTTACGTTTAACTTCTGCATGGCAAATTGTTGAAATATTTAGTTGCGTAAAACGGGGGTAAAAAAAAAAAAAGAGAGAAAGCTTATTTCCATTTGAGACGTTAGTGGGAGAAATCTGTGATTGGAAAATGAAATTACGGGTTGCTTAATTGTCGCTCACCTTGACACTGGTTCTTGTTCTTTCTGCTTTTAGTCGCCTTGCCTATTTTCTATTGATGTGATCGCCATTTTCTCTTGCCTCCAATTATACATACATAAAGAAGGACATCACGTGCCATTATGTACCATGCATGTTTGTGTACTGTTATCATTCTTAAAAGTA